GGAGCTCTTGAGTTGAGGTTCAGTTGAGTCCATCTGTATCGTGGAGCTAATGGGCTCTACTACAGAGGACTCTGGTGAGAACTAAATTATATTAAGACTATAAGTTTTAAGTGAGGAACCTGACACACTGGGAGGGCCTAAATAACTCCTACCAACTTGTTCACTCCTTCCTCTAATAAGTACTATTTGTTTTATAATTAAAAAAAAATTCCTTTAAAGACTTCCCATTGATCACACAATAAAGTCCATTTGTTGTTGTTGTTGTTGGCAGTGCCAAGGATCAGACCCAGGGCCTGGCACATGGCACAAACCAGGCAAACACTCCACCATTGAGCTATATTCCCCAGGTCAAGGTCCAAAATTCTTGATATGCCCTGTACAATTCTGCTGAAGCTGTCTAGGGCTTTCTTCATTCAGCTTCAATCTTTCTCATGTTCTCCCTGATCCTTCTGTCTCTACAAGGTTTTTTTCCATTTTTCTTTTTGTTTGTTTTTGGCATTACTGGGGATTAAACCCCGGACCCTTTGCATGCTAGGAGAGTTCTTTACCACTGGATTATAGCTACAATTCTTTTTTAAATTTTATTTTCAAAAAGTTGCCGAGGCTGGACTCAAACTTGTGATCCTCCTGCCTCAGCCTCCAGAGTCTTGGGATTACAGGTGTATGCCGCTGCACCTAGCAAAAAGAGTTCTTCCACGACATGTGAATTTGGACACTCAGAAATGAGACAGAAGCTCAAGTCTCTGTTCCAGTAGGAGCCGTTAGGTCAGAGGTGATCTGGACATGGGAGGAAAGAATTTCAGCTAAGATTTTTTTTTTTTTTTTTTAAGGGCCAGGAGATCACACAATCTTGAGAGAAGATGGGACATTCTGGCACTATACTTAAGCTTCTCCCCAAAGAGGGGAAGAGGCTTGCCCAAGTTCTCCAGCCATGTGAGTGAGAACCTATGCTGGCCACTGCAGCTGTTGCCTCCAGCCTCAGGAAGAAAAAATTAAGGCAAGAAGTTGTAGGTCTCTGGCACAAAGTGTTGACACTAGTGCCAGAGATTTAAAGGTCTGAAGGTTCAGGCTTGTGGGACCTCAAACAAGTCATTCCCCCTGTTTGTAATAGAGAGTCTTAGATCAAGTACTCTGGAAAGCAGACTTAGATGGAAATTTGCATAAAGGAGGTTTACTGGGAACAATATCAGAGGACAGTGAGAAGCAGGGCTAGGCAGAAGTTGGGTTGCAATGCAGCTGCAGTGGAGGGCTCAGCTGATCTGACAGGGGATTCTAGAGCTGGAATAATCTGTCAGAATTGTTTCAAAGGGTCCAGGCCTTTGTTCATTCTCCTATCAACAAGTCATTGGAAGCAGACTATCTGGTTAGTTTGCTCCCTTCAACCCAGGACAGTTCCCAGAGAGGGATTCAGGTCTTTCAGCAGCCAACACCCTCAATGGAATGGGGATGTGGGAAGGAATGTGTGCCCTAGACTGCATGACACCCAAGCACCACTACAGAAGAATGCAGATGAGCATTTCTAACTGTTCAGTTTCATGAAGCCTTCAGGTTCCAAGAAGGTGGTTCAGTGGGTGGAAATCCTCTCTTCTTGAATGTGTTGTAGCTTCTGCAGAGTCTAACTTGAAAGAGGTCTCCACTACTAGGTCTTAAATGTCCTCAGAGGCACCTCATTGCTTTTTTTTGGGGGGGGGAGTGCACAGGGGCACTTACCACTGAGATATATCCCTAGCTCATTTTTTTTTTTTTAATTTTGAGTCAGGGTCTCACTAAGTTGCTAAGGCTGGCTTCAAACATGTGATCCTCCTGCCTCAGCCTTCCAAGTTGCTTGGATGACAGACATGCATCACTCTGCCTCACTCATCTCTCTTGGGGGGTGCTCATCACAATTGTAATGTAAGTAATTTGCTGAGTAAGGATCTAATATCTGTCTCTGCCACTTGACAATAAATCCCAAAGAAGCAGGAACCCTGTCTGTCTCCCTCACTGTTGTATCTCCACGGTCTATAACATCCGTTGAATGAAAGAATATTAGAGAAGCTGTTAAAGATACACATTCCCCAGTTCTGCCTCCATACTCTGATCCTCCAGGAGACTCTAGAGCACAAAAGGCTGTGAACCATTTCTCCAACCCACCTGCCATGACTCTGATGAATGTTTGAAACTTGCCGGAGACTCACCCAGCTTGTTTTCCTACTCACTCTCAGCAGCCCTCAATCCAAGCATATCTTCAAAAGCCAGACAAACAAAAGAATGCAGCCACTAGCAGACTTCCCACAAACTCCCACCTGGGTAGATGTGTCCTGGTCTTAAGACTGCAGGCTTCAGAAGTCTAAAACGTATTATATTCAATTTGTATCAGTTCTCATTTCATGTGCAAATTGAATTGAACATGATAAAAAGTAATGCTGACTAGTTTGGAACAAAAGCAATGCCACGTAGAAAACCCTAGAATCAGACTGATAAGGGTTCCAATTCTACCTCATTTGCATAATATTTGGCAAATTTCTTCCCTTTTGGGGGGATGGTGGTGGTGGTAGTGGTGGTGGTGTACAAAGGACTAAACCCAGGGGCACTTTACCACTGAGCTACATTCCCAGGCCTTTTTGAGACAGGGTCTAAATTGTTGAGGCTGGCCTTGTACTTGTGATCTTCCTGTCTGAGCCTCCTGAGCTTCTGGAATTACAGGTGTGTGACACTGCACCTGGTATGGCAAATTTCTTAATACTGAATTGCTCACCAGTACGAGGCAGAGATCCCTGAACTGTGCTAGGTGGCTTTCATGTATTAATTTTTACAACCTTCCTGTAATCCGAAATATAAATTCCTTTCCATACATAAGGAAATTGAGGAGAGAGACCTGAAGTAACTTGCTCACAGTCAAGGTATTGGATGTCAAAGCTGGAATTGAACCTAGGTCTACCTGCTAAATTGATGTTCCCTAGATCTCTCTCATCTATGTTCCATTTCCACATCTGTACAGTGGAAAACACCACTCCTTTCTCAAAGGGCTGTTGTGAAGATTAAATGTGAAAACATTTGATAACAGCCACACTCCACAAATGCCACCTAGAAAAGAAATGGAAATATTTTATTCCAATTTTTGTGGTTGAGGTGCCTCAAAGCCCAGTGAAATTAATTAATAGCCTCCCCACCCAGGGATACAAGTGACTAAGTCAGAGCCAGAATCCAAGCTTTGGACTCAAAGTCTGATTCACTTTCTCTCACACTCTCAAATGACTTTAGAAGGAAAAGCTAATGTATAGATATACTGCAAAAATAAAAATCTACCTCAAGGGAAAAGTGAACTTGAGAGTCAATTGGGGGAGGCTTCCAGTAAGGTCTAGTTTTCAGTTTATGACAGTAGTGTTCAGAGCAAATGGGAAGCCAGAATAAGCTTTAGCTTAGTCATGATGTGGTTTTCCTGATGAACTTCTTAGTTCCTGGTGCCCAGAGAAGTTAAGAAGCTTGACTAAGGTCACACAGCTATAAATGGCATGGGCACAATTTAACTCCTCAAACCTGATTCTGTCTCCTTGGTGCCTCTAGAAAGGGAAGGATGAGAAGCAGATCATAATATGGTGGGGTGGGGGACCTCCAGTAGTAGGAAAAAACAAAACAAGGCGAGATGCCAAGGCCTCAGTGTCAAACAGATGGATCCTGGCATCTCCAATGACTAGCTGTGTAGCCTCAGCAATGTCATTTCACCTCTGAGTTAATTCCCTCGCAAGACTGTGGCAAATTCAGAGAAATGGCCTCCACATATCCACCCCAGGGCCAGGCTTGGTTGAAAATGACGTGGTCATTGTTAGTTCACCATGCCAGATCAGCTAGAGTTGGGTGGCAGGGCTGGACACCCAAGCCACAGAAGTTAAGACTTTCAATGTCAACAATTCCAACCCTGCAATCAATGACACAAGTAATTGGCAGGGCAGGGACTGTCAGGTCAGGTCCATGATGCAATCATAGCTCTCTGCTTGTGTTAAGAGATGAACCCTGGCCTTCAGAAAATGGAAAAACAGTCCATTAACAATGAGTACAAAACAAAACCTTGGTGAACTTTTATTTCTTATCATATGTAACTGTTAACAAGGTCAAAGATTTCTGCACTTGAACACTGGATACCCTTCCCACCCAACCCAGGAGACAATAACAGAGGCATCATGTCCCCTCTAGAACTCAAACCCCCATGCTGGGCCCCTTTCCCTCTGGCCCCCCTTCTTTGTGGGGAGGGCTTTCAGGCCTTAGGGGGTGCCCAGTCGCTTTCCCGTGCCTGCACGGGTATGAAATGTGGCACACTGGCAGGCTTCTCTCCTGCCCTGCCCCAGGGAGGAGGGTCAGAAGCAGCAGCATGGTGGCCCCTGCCTTTCTCAGGTACCTCCAAACTGGATCAAGAGGAGGCACCTACTGCTAAGAAGGGCAAGAGAAGCCATAATTCACAGTTGTTTGCTACAGAAAGTGCCTGGGATTAGTCCTTGGCTGCTTCTGCCTCCAAGCAAACCTAAAATCTAGGAGAGGGGACAGATGAGACGCCAGGATGGGGGTGAGGGTCCTTGGAAGGCAGCCAGGAAAAAACAATTACAGGAATGGGGGTCCCCAGAGGACTTCGTAAGATCTTTTAAGAAAAATCAGCTTGCTGTTGACAGGTTGGCCTGAGATCCCAGGGCACAGCCTCAGACACTGGGGAAACTCCAACCCACCCCTCCGTCTGCAACTGTGGTGGTCAAGGTGGCCTGGCAATGTGGCATGGTCACCCAATCAGTGGTAGGGCCCAAACAAGAGCCCTGGTGTCTGCCTCTCTTACTGAGTCTCAGTGCCACCTCAGCCACCTAGAAAGGCCCCGCTTTTTGGCAAATATCCTTGGCAGAGCTCCAGCCTCTACAGGCAGCACAGCCTAGAGTGAAGAGGCTCCCTCTGCTCCTCCCAGGTATCAACTGTGGCTCCAAGGGGGAGGCCGAGAAGAGGACTGACCTCAACTACAAAGGACCCAAACACAGAGAATCTATCATCAAATACTTCTTCTTCGGAAGGCAAAGTGACCAACAGTGGCTCCAAATCTCCAGAAACAGTTCACATCCAAAAGGTTCGGTCTGGCCTCTCTCCTGGGGTCTCCCACCTCAAATCATCGGAGAAAGGCATACAAGGGCAAAGAAGGTAAGAGAACTAAACTAGGATTCAGGCAACGAGGGTACCAGGGGTCTCCATTCTGCCCAACAGAAAAGGCTTTTGGGGAACAGGGCATACAGGCCAGCTGTGACCCTGGCTTTCACATTAATGGGTGTTCAAGTGGGAGGTAATGAACTCTGAGAATGATGGGGGAGAGAAGGCAAAGCTGCCTGGAGTGTTAGTCCCCGGAGGTCTTTGGCCCTCTCTCACAGGGGCTAGCCAGGGACTTCCCAGTCCAGGAAGGCCACAGCACTTGTGGTGCCTGGGGCTCAGCCTGCTGGCACACAAGTCCGAGGTTGGCACATTTCCCTTCTATGCCCTCTGCCTCTGGGGGGCAGGGGAAGGAAAAATGCATAGCCCCTTGGGATCTCCTAATCCTCTTCCAGTTCCCAGGGACAGAGCTGAGATCCCAGAGTCAGTGCAGTGATCCTGTCCATTCCAGTGAGAAAAAAAGAGGGTGTGGCTCGGGGGCTGCACATCACACAAGCCCACCCACAGCAGGGTGGGGATGGGCATGGAACTGAAAGGGTCCCAGATCTGTCTCCAGATGGAATTCTTCCAGGGAGGAGGGTATCCCCAGGATCAGCTGCTCCAGGTATGGTTCCTACGTGGGAGGGAGTCAGGTCATGTAGCGGGTGATGGCACGGAGGGCGTACAGCAGGGCAGCTTGCATACGGGCCTCCAGGAGTAGCAAGTTCACATGTACCTGGGATACAGAGCAAGGCTTGTTAACGGATCCTCTACCCTCCCAGACTGCCACTATCCCTGACCACTCACCTCACCCTTCCCTTTTGCCACAGAGATGTCCTGACCTTTGATAGTGCTCTGAGCAATTTGGTACAATGACCACTGAAGAACTTCCAGTGCATTCTTCCTTATCATGATTAACTTCTTTATCCCACAGGGCTAAATAAGAGCTACCATTAACTGTGCAGGATCAAGGGTTTACAATACATCTTTTCATTTCATCTTTCCAACAACCTTGATGGTGGCAGAATTGATTCCCATTGTAAAGTGGGAAAGCTCAGAGAGGTGAAGAGACTTGCCTCAAGTCCCAGTGTTATGATTTGAACCTATGTCTACCAGCCTGCCACGGAGGACACTGGGTGAAGCTGGTACCCGTATTCCCATTTTACAGGTTTGTTAGCAGCTGAGGAGGATGTAAACTCAAGACAACATGCCCAGGTATCCCACCTCCCTGCCCTCTCCACTGGCTGGGCCCGTCTACCTCCATCCTGCTCCTCCCCATGGGTCATACCTTCTCTGAGTGGCGGAAGTGCCTCCAGAAGTGGTTGTACATTCTTCGGGTGGTCTTCTCTGGGTAGCAGGCTACTGTCTTGATATAGACCTTGAGGTTCCGTTCCAGGAGCTGGTTCACCTCCCCATAATCATAATCATCATATCTGGAAAGACCAACAGCATTGCTCATCCTCTGTTCCCAAAAGGAAAGCTCATTTCCCACCCCCACCCCATAGAAAGAGGAACAGAGAATGGAGAGAAAAGGCAGAAGGTAGCAAGCAACAAGAAGTCCAGTTCCTCTTAGAAGAAGTTAATACCATATATCACAGGCCAACAAACTTGTGGGGGACCAGTCCAAGGAATGCACAGAGAATGAGCATGTTGAACTGAGTACCACCAATGTGTCATGTGACCAGGTATTCAAGGAATTCTCAGAACTACTACACACTACTGTGATATACAGCTTTATATACAATACACTGTACTCATGAATCCCACTTTGCAGATGAGAAAATTGACACTTGAGGTGTCACTTTTTCTAAGTCAGACAGCAGGGAATGGGTTTGAAACCCAGCTCTGTCTGTCTCCAAGGCTGAAGTCACACTGAGTCACAGAGAAATTCAGAGAAAAATTTAGAAGCAACGACCATGTTGGAGAGTGAAGACTCCTAAACCTGAGGGCCGGGAAGAAGCTACCCTTCCCACATTTTAAAATGCCATCTTGCCATCCCAGAGATGAAACTCCATAATAGTCAGCAAGAGGATGGCCCAGTAGGTATAGCTCATTCAATGAAATACGATTTATAGCTACACAGAAAAACAGTTTTTCTTTTTTTAATATTTTTTTAGTTGTCAATGAACCTTTATTTCTTTGACTTATTTATATGTGGTGCTAAAGATTGAACCCAGTCCCTCACATGTGTAAGGCAAGTGCTTTGCCACTGAGCTATAGCCCCAGCCCCAAGAAAAACAATTTTTCTACAAGCAACATGTACAGCAGAGCCTGTCTTTTTTTTAAGTTGTAAATGGACACAATGCCTTTATTTTATTTATTTATTTAGTTTTATGTGGTGCTGAGGATCAAACCCAGTACCTCACACATGCTAGGCAAGTGTCTATCACTGAGCTACAACTACAGCCTCTGGGGATAATTTTTTGATACTCAGTATAAACAATTAAATGAGAAAAGCAAGAAAAAAATCATATGTTTACTGAACTACACTAATGTTTTTAATATGAGTAAAATATGTAAAAGGAGTAGGCAAGAAAATGGCAGCAGAACTTGTTTTTGTAAAATTATATACATCTTGGTTATTTGTGAATAGAAAAAAACAACAGAAAGTATCTTATGGTAATAAAAGCAGGTGGTGTCATGGATATTTTTTTTTTTCCTCCAGTGCTGGGAATTAAACCCTGAGCCTCACTCATGCTAAGCAAATGCTCTACCACTGAGCTACTTCCTGGGCCTTATGTTTTCTAAATTTTCTAAAAATCAAGGTCTTATTTCTATTTACAAACATCCAGTATATTTTTTTAAGTGAAATAGCCACTATAATTTGAACTATATAAAAGCAACTACATAAGAAAGAAAAAATAGCAGAAAAACATCATGGGATATGGATGTGGTTGAACTGGGGTAGTAGATTTTTGAGAAATTTCTTATTTCCTTAATTTTTTTGTTGATTTCTTTTTTATCATGCTATCAGAGTAACTTTTTGTTTGTTTGTTTGTTTTCTTGGCAGTACTAGGAATTGAACTCAGACTTTGAGCAGGCTAGGCAAGTGTTTTACACATTATAGGTATGTGCCACAGCACTGGCTTTTTTTTTTTTTTTAAATAACAAAATAATTGTTCTAGGTTTAAATCTGACAAGTAATATCCTATCTAGGATTTATCTACAAGAACTTGTGTAGCCAGGCGTGGTGGTTCACACCTGTAATCCCAGTGATTTGGGAGGCTGAGGCAGCAGGATCAAAAGTTTGGCGCCAGCTTCAACCTAGTGAGGCCCTCAGCAATATAGTGAGACGCTGTCTCAAAGTAAAAAA